ATCCAGTTTACTCAGCTCACGGCTTAGCTCTCTGCATCAGATCCAGGCACTGAGTAGCTGAAGTTCATAAAACTCTCATCCTAAAGGCTACACCATCTGCTCTTTAGTACTGGTATTTTAGATTGGGCCAAGATTTTGTACTTGCTTTCTTTGAATGTACAAAGTAGGGAACTTGGCAGCTCTTGCAAGATTGATGCCATCTCTCCATCTCCAGGGAGTTGCCAACAACACTAATAGTTTCCACTCCCCCGACACCCTCTTGTCCACCTCTCTCATCCCAGCTCAAATGCCAAGCTGGAAAGCTGAGTGTGGAGCAAGGAGCTGGCCCCACCACTACAAAGAGCCCAGCTGTTTGGCCAAACGCCCTAGGAGCTGAGACTCCCGCCCAGCATTCGGCATTTCCCTACACACAGCACAGCTTTGTTCTGCAAGTGCCTTTGGGGAGGGGGGCGAGAGTGGACTTGAACTTAAAGAGCAGCTGTTAAAAGTAAGAGTAGCCTGGGGCAGAAGCAGATAATGATGGGGGCTACCTTGACATGGTTGTGGGTCTTCTGTGCTCTGAGGAAGATGAGAGCTATGCTAGAGATTCAGCCATGCTGGGCAGGTCTCATTAGAGGAGCCAGATAAAGGGTGTCTCTCTCCCATAAACAATTTGGTGAGACATAATTTACAGAAAGGTATACTGGATCAGTTGTCATCTGGGTCAACATGGACCATGCTAGATGTTGGAGTTCCTGGATATCTGGTGACAAAGGACTGTGGGACTGAGGACTGTTGGCTGAGCAACCAGGATTAGTGGAAGAAAAGTTTTTACCCATAGCATATATACAAATATTGAAAACAAAGAAATAATAATGGGGAGGAGGAGGAGGAGAAGGGAGAGGAGAGGAGAAGGGGAAGGAGGAGAGAAGGAGAAGGAGGAAAGAAGGAGGAGGAAGAGGAGAAGGAGAAGGAGGAAAGAAGGAAAGGAGAAGGAGGAGAAGGAGAAGGAGAAAGAGGAGGAGAGAAGGAGAAGATTGCTCAAGGTGGGGAGAATTTTCTGGAAAAATATCAGGAGGTTTTACCAAGGGTGGGAGAGACCACTTTTATTTTGGGGGTATTTGCCAAAAAACTGATTGTCTAAACTTTATAATAGTCCTTGCAGAGAGCAACTGACACACCTTGGCCCAAATCTGCTGGCTTCCCATTTGCCCTCCACAGAGGCGGAGAGGAATCTGGACGAGCTCCATTACTGGCTGAGAGGCCCATTGGTGCCACTTTGACCAGGGGCTGGGGAAGACGTAAGGCCAGATCTCAACTCTTAATGCTTCAACCCTGGCTCCTTCTCTCTCTGACCCCCCTTGGCAGTTGTTGACGAGCCTAATAGCTGCTTCTTTTCATGGTTGTTGCTGAGAATCTTTTTGTCTGTGGATAGGGACAGGGCTCCCAAAATAATTAGCGCTACCCACAACGAGACATGTTCTGAAAACGTTGTCTGGCTTTGAAGAAAGAGAAAGACAAATTGCTTGGAACCAGAGAAAGAACACAGGGATGAGAAAGAAGACCAATCTCATATTAAGGGGAAAGGAATTGCTCAACTCTCCCAAGCACTCATGATTCAAAGTAGTTTCCTCCTTAAAGGAAGGGTGTTCAAATCTTATAATGGGGACAGTTCTCAAAACAACGTGTAATTCAAACTATCTAGATTCCAAATTTGCTATAACCTTATACCATTGGATTTATCCAGCCCAGGCACCCTGTATATCTTGGTGACAACCATTTGAGGGCCACAAAGAGTTAGTGCCCTGGCTCTCTTTCCTATCATCTACTGTGTTTCCCCAAAAATAAGACCTGCCCCCAAAATAAGCGCTAGCTTGATTTTGGGGGGTGGGCCTAATAAAAGTCCTACCCCAAAAATAAGCCCTAGTTTTGGGGCGAGGTACACCCCTAAAAATCAAGCTAGTGCGGGGGTGGGGTGTATGGAGCTAACCATTGCAACCAGGTCTCCCTTGGATCAACACTTGCCTCGCCAGCTGAAGGAGCAGCTTCATTCTGCAGGTGAGAATGGAGCGCCGACCTGCATCCATAGCTCGGTTCTCAGCTGCAGAGGCCTTCTGGAAAGGCCTCTGACTGCAAAATGCAGGCTGGAGCTCCATTCTCAGCTACAGAATGAAGCTGCTCCTTCGGGCGCAGAAGAAGTGGTCTGACTGGCCCGGGCTGTCGGTGCTGGAGGTGAGTGGAAAAGACACACACACCCCAAAATAAGACTTGGTGCCTCTTTAGGAGGCATAAGAAAGAAAAAGAAAGAAAGAGAGAGAGAGAGAGAGAGAGAGAGAGAGAGAGAGAGAGAGAGAGAGGAAAGGAAGGAAGGAAGGAAGGAAGGAAGGAAAGAAAGAAAGAAAGAAAGAAAGAAAAAGAAAGAAAGAAAGAAAGAAAGAAAGAAAGAGTCACTAAATGAACTAAATGAACTGTTATAAGTTGAGGACTACCCCTACTCATCTCCCCAAAGAAAGACCAGTCAACTCAGGACGATCAAGTCCTGCAAGCTAAATCATAACATTCTTTCTATAGTTTGGGTTTAAGCACTCTTTCTAAATTTGCCCTGGACCCCCATTGACACTCTCTCTCTCTCCCCCTCCCTCCCTCCCTCCATCTCTCTCTCTCTCTCTCTCTCTCTCTGCACAAGTGTGTTGGTTTTTGCAATCATTAAGCATCAATCTAATGCAGGTGGAACATTTCTCATGAACTGGTGCCTCACCTACTAACTTTCCGATGCTGGTCAGCTTTTTAAAGGCACAGCAGAAGAGGCCGTAAAAGAAAATGGTAACGTTAAAGAGAGAGGCAGCAAGAGCAAGTCTTGCAGATTAACCCTAAAGAAAATACCATACACCTTTATATGACTTTTTTAGCAGGTTGTTTTGGAGGGGTTGATTGGTGGAAAAGGGTTGCCCTCTGCTGGCTGGTCATGCGTAAAATTGTTCAGTTGAAATACAGGAATGTGACACAGATTTGTTATGTAACTTTAATGCAGGGTTTCTCAAACTTGGTGGCTTTAAGATCTATGGCAGGGGTCTTCAAACTTGGAAACTTTAAGACTTGTGGACTTCAACTCCCAGAATTCCTCAGCCAGCCACAAGTCTTAAAGTTGCCAAGTTTGAATACCACTGATCTATGGACTTCAGCACCCAGAATTCTCCAGCCAGCCAGCCTCCAAGGAGAGTAACATTGGATTAAACTTAAAGCATTTAGGTTTTGGGTTTGTGTGGCTGTCAAAAAAGAAAAATCGTAGAACGCCCAGAAGTGACTTTGGAAATCTTCTACTCAACTCTCTGTCCAGGGTGGAAATCCTTAGACCATTCCAGACAAATGGCTGTCCAATCTTTGCTTGAAAACCTTGGAAGATGGGGCACTCATGAATCCAGGGATGGGCTTCCCCCCCTGCTTAATAGCTTTCACAGTTAGGAAATGTTTCTTTATTTCAAGCTTGGGCATCTTGCTTTAAAACTTCCACCCAGTGGTTCTTGGGCACCACAGAGAATAATATCCATCTTCTATTCCCTTCGTCTTCTCTTTTTTAGGCTAAACAGTCAGTCTGAGCTAGTGGTTAAAAGCCAGTTTGGATTAGGGGTTAAGGCACCAGCCTAGAAACCAGCAGACAATGAGTTCTAGACTATCTTTAGGCATAAAAACCAACTGGGTGACTTTAGGTGAATTACTCTTTCTCAATCCAACCCAACCCAACCTCACAGGGTTGTTGTTGTGGGGAAAATAGAAAGAGGGGGGATATTAGAAATGTCCATTGCCTTGAATTATTTATGACATATAATAAAGGTGGGATAAATAAACATTCCAGTTCTTTTAACTATTCTTCATTGGATTTAGCCTGCAAGTTCCTCAACAGCTTTGCTGCTCTTCTCTACATTATTTTCAGTTCCTCAGCAGCTTGAATCTTGGAACCATATTTATTTTTCCTTTTCTATGGTCATTCTCCCATCCAGCTGCACTCTTAGTTCAGTCATAAGTCAAGGACTACCTGTAAAGCAGGCCTGTTTGTGACATCTAGGGCTGCCCACTTCTTAAACAAATTAAATACTGAGTTTAAAGAGGAGTTTATTTTCTTGGGATAAATCTGAGACTGTGTGAAAGAAATCTAGGCTGACTTTTAATATAAGAATCCAAAGAGCTGTATAGCTCTCTCAGATATGCGTTAGTTAATAGGCTGAATGTTAATAGCTTGAATGCACTGTAGTGAGGATCACTTGATATGTGTTAATCATAACTTTAATTCTATTAAACTGCAGGGTGACGTTCTGCTAAATCTTAATGATGTACTGAAATTAGATTGCGTTCCCAGGCACGCCACTGGGAGTTTTACATAGTGGATAAAGTGATGGCTTGGGTAACCACGATTGAATAAGCCACATGTGGCTGATTTTCACCCTGCCTTAAGATAGAAGCCACCGTTTGCAAACTACACTGGCACCCTGTGAGCATCCAGTAAAATGATTGTTTCATTTTGGCTGTGCAAACTAGCTATGGGTGGGGATAAACTCTGGCTTAATATGTACCTAGCCTGCTAACCACATTAAAAAAAAAACACAAAAAAACCCCTACCAATTCACCTACGGAGGCGAACCAATTTTCCCGCCAGGCATGTTCATTCGGGTGCCTTTCCCCAGCCTACCTTACAGGGTGGGTGCTAGGAAAAATAGGAAGCTCTCTGGGCTGCTTCATCCTCCTGCAGGCTCTGAATCGAGGGGAGGAGAATCAAATACATTGGTTATATATATATATATTTTATATTTTATTTGGGAACCCACTTGTACAACAGCCCGCAGTGCCCCGCTTCCAGTCCACGTCCGGCTTCTCCCCGCGCGCAGCCTGGGGACCGGGCTGGGGCCGGGGCCGGGGCCGGGGCGGGCGAGTGGGCGAGTGGGAGGCGCTCGGAGGCGGGACGGGGAGGCTCGCCCACAAAGGGACGGAGAGCGCGGGGCACAGGGCTTCGCGTGGCCAGCGAGGAGCGGCACCCTTGGCCAGGCGCGCCCGGGGTTGCGTCCGAGGCGCGCATTAACTGCAGGAGGGAGAGAATCGCCCGAGGCGCTCAGAGCTCCGGACCTCCTCGGCGCGGAAGTAAGTCGGGGGGGACGCGGGCGGGCGGGCGGGCGGGCGGCGGCGAGACGACTTGGGGTTCCCCGCCCGCAAATGCCAGAGTCGGGGGAGAGGGGCAGCCCCCCTCGCCGCCCCCCTTTCCAGGCGGATAGCGCGCCTGCACGGGGAGGGAAGGGAAGCAAAGGCGAGTCTCCAGCGTGGCCGAGGCGAAAGCTGCTCTTGGCAGAAGTTGGGAAGCGCCCCCGAAGGGGCGCAAGCGGGGCGTGGATGCCGAAGCTGGGAAGCGCAAGGTGGGGCTTTTCGGGAGCTGGGCAGGGGGGAGACCTTCCCGGCCTTGGGGACCCGCGCCTGCCAGAAGCCTGGGGGAAGAAGGGGCGGCTGGGGTCGGTCCCAGGCAGTCCTCGAGGCCGTCTTAAAGGGGGAAGGAGGGGAGCGCCTATGGAGCCCATATGGGAGACTTCGGGGGGCGGAGGCTTTTGAAGTTCAGCCGGGTGAGGAGGGGGGCGTGGAGCCATTCCCCCCCCCGGTCTGCGTCGGACAGGAACTCCAGAGCTTCGGTCTTGCTTTGCAACATTGGCTGCCTCTTTAACAAGGGCGGGCCGGGTACGAGACTGGCCAGAAAAGGCTTGCCCGGTTGAACTCCTGCCTGCCTGCCTGCCTGCCTTTAGTCACGGGGTTGGGGAAGAGTGGAAAAGTTTGGGAGCTGCGCGACAGAAAGTGGTGGCGGCACGTGGGGGGGGGGGAAGGGGGGAGAGGTGTATGGAAAGGGCTGGGCGCGCCCGCGTCGCCTGCAATGTCCGGTTGGCTTTCCAAAACAACGGGGGCTTCTTCTGACGGATTCCTTAGCATCGTTTCCCCCGGCCCTGCATTCCGCACTTGGCCAAGGGGGGGGGGGGTCATTCGAGGCCACGCTGGGTTAGGTTAGGACTTCTCATATGATGTGGCATTTAAAAAAAAAAAAAGGCCACATAGCAACTTTAATGGAAGTTTGCCTTTCCGAGTGTGCAGATGCCCCCCCCCCCGTAGTCTGGATTAATATCTTGAGCTAAACCAGGGGTAGGCAACCTTGGCTCTTTTATGACTTGTGGACTTCAACTCCCAGAAGTCCACCAGTCATAAAAGAGCCAAGGTTGCCTACCCCTGAGCTAAACCATAAACCAAGGTTTACAAACCACCCTTACAAAAAACTCTGGTTAGCTTGTCTAAATAAAAAGCGGTTTCTTGAAAGCGTCTGTCAGAAAGCTGGAAAAAAATGTGTCTCACTCTACAGCAGAGGTCCCCAACCGTTTGGGCACCAGGGAGAGAGGTATTTCCCGTGGATTGGAGGGGGCGTGGTTTTGTGTGCTGCCTGCTTGCATACCTGCGGAAGGGGTTTGCTTGTTTGTGCGGACCACTTGCTGGCATGCTACAGACCTGTACTGGTCCATGGACCTGGGGTTGGGGACCCCTGCTCTACAGCCCAGTGAAGCTTGAATAAAATGGTTTCCAGTCCCTTTTTTACGAGTGGAGAACTTGAAACAGGGAGATAAACGTTGGCTTGAAGCCACATATTGGCTGGATTCACGAAAATCCCTTAACCAGGTTTGGTAAAAACAGATGACTGCGATGCAAATGTTGGTCTCGATTGTGTTTGTAAGTTGAGGACTACCTGTGTGGGGACAATCTTTTCCACACCTCTTCTCATTTACTAAAGGTTTTGGGGATACCTTCTTGATGCCAACTTGATTCGATTCTAATTAACCAAACTGCTCCTATTGGCTTCGCTCTGTTGGCTTCATCAGATACCAACCCCTAGCTTGCATTTAGATGGGAAGAGCAGGTTGCAGTTGGACTGGAAAGTAAAAAAAAAAAAATAATCTTTTGGAAATAGGCTTGGGCAAACCATTTCTATAAATCTATCCCGAAAGCAGTGGTGGGATTCAGCCAGTTTGCACCACTTTGGCAGAACCGGTAGCTAATTTTCTGTTGCCCAGGCCCAGAATGGACTTCCGGAAGTGGCATCCACACAGAGAGCCGGTTGTTCACATATTTGAATCCCACCACCACCTGAAAGCCATCGTTTCTATGCCTGGCATTAAGATATTTCAATATTTTTTTAAAAAATCCTGTGGGTTTGAAATGCCGTGAGCTTCTGCAGTGCTGTTGACACTCTGGATCCTTGAATGTGATTGCTTGTTCTAAACTTTCTACATGCCTGGATTGGCCCCAGCTACTGTTTCTCCCTGTGCCAAAAAGTGTTTACCAGTCAAGGACCTCAGTGAATGGTGGATAAGAAAGAGCTTAAAAAGTGTTGTCCNGAAGTCCACCAGTCATAAAAGAGCCAAGGTTGCCTACCCCTGAGCTAAACCATAAACCAAGGTTTACAAGCCACTCTTACAAAAAACTCTGGTTAGCTTGTCTAAATAAAAAGCGGTTTCTTGAAAGCGTCTGTCAGAAAGCTGGAAAAAAATGTGTCTCACTCTACAGCAGAGGTCCCCAACCGTTTGGGCACCAGGGAGAGAGGTATTTCCCGTGGATTGGAGGGGGCGTGGTTTTGTGTGCTGCCTGCTTGCATACCTGCGGAAGGGGCTTTGCTTGTTTGTGCGGACCACTTGCTGGCATGCCACAGACCGGTACTGGTCCATGGACCGGGGGTTGGGAACCCCTGCTCTACAGCCCAGTGAAGCTTGAATAAAATGGTTTCCAGTCCCTCTTTCAGGAGTGGAGAACTTGAAACAGGGAGATAAATGTTGGCTTGAAGCCACATATTGGCTGGATTCACGAAAATCTCGTAACCAGGTTTGGTAAAAACAGATGACTGCGAGGCAAATGTTGGTCTCGATTGTGTTTGTAAGTTGAGGACTACCTGTATGGGGACAATCTTTTCCACACCTCTTCTCATTTACTAAAGGTTTTGGGGATACCTTCTTGATGCCAACTTGATTCGATTCTAATTAACCAAACTGCTCCTATTGGCTTCGCTCTGTTGGCTTCATCAGATACCAACCCCTAGCTTGCATTTAGATGGGAAGAGCAGGTTGCAGTTGGACTGGAAAGTAAAAAAAAAAAATAATCTTCTGGAAATAGGTTTGGGCAAACCATTTCTATAAATCTATCCCGAAAGCAGTGGTGGGATTCAGCCAGTTTGCACCACTTTGGCAGAACCGGTAGCTAATTTTCTGTTGCCCAGGCCCAGAATGGACTTCCGGAAGTGGCATCCACACAGAGAGCCGGTTGTTCACATATTTGAATCCCACCACCACCTGAAAGCCATCGTTTCTATGCCTGGCATTAAGATATTTCAATATTTTTTAAAAAAATCCTGTGGGTTTGAAATGCCGTGAGCTTCTGCAGTGCTGTTGACACTCTGGATCCTTGAATGTGATTGCTTGTTCTAAACTTTCTACATGCCTGGATTGGCCCCAGCTACTGTTTCTCCCTGTGCCAAAAAGTGTTTACCAGTCAAGGACCTCAGTGAATGGTGGATAAGAAAGAGCTTAAAAAGTGTTGTCCTGTAACTGGTCGTGTGTCTACTCTGTTGCTATGTGCCTCCTCTAGGAGGGCTGGTACTGAACCCCGGCGTCGCTTGGGGGCTGGATGTCACAGGGACTGAGAAGGGGGAATATTTATAACTCCAACATCTTGCCAGGTTTGATATATTTAGACAGCACGCTGGCCAATAACAAATCAGATGCAGTGAGGCTCTAGAGCAGGGTTTCTAGCTACTGTATGCTTCCTTCAGAGCTTTTCTTACCACCTCTTTCCATTCCAATAACTCACGAAGAAATAAAGTAAGGACCATGGGCCAGCAAAGAGAGAAATCCATTCCTTGTCCCCCAAATTATTTGACTCTTTGGGTCAAGTCTTTAAGAGAGAAAAAAACGTGGTTCAGCTTGGAAGACAAGCAGGGTCAAGCTTAGTTAGGGTTTGACTGGGAAGATGCCAGAGAATTAAGACAGTTGTTGGCTAGATTGGAAAGTTCAAAGGTATCCGGGAAGAAGGAAACAGCAAAGCCTTTTTCATCTCATTGCCAAGGAAACTGCATGGACGCGTCCGTGAAATCACCAAGAGACAAGGAGACTATAACTAGCGTTATAACAGGGGTAGTCAACTTTGGCTCTTTTATGACTCGTGGACTTCAATTCCCAGAATTCCTGAGCCAGCTTAGCTGGCTCAGGAATTCTGGGAGTTGAAGTCCACGAGTCATAAAAGAGCCAAGGTTGAGTACCCCTGCGTTATAAGTTAGCACTGCTTTGATTTTTCAGAGAAGACTTGGGGGCCCTAAACTGCTCTTGGAAATTTAGTGATCGAAGTTGGCTTTCCATTTTTAAAAAATAGGTCAGGGAAGTCAAAGAAGCCGGGCACCAGCCTTGTGATCTCAATCCTTCCATCTCAGCCATCCTCAAATGCCTAAAGACCTGCATCTCTCAGCTTTCCTGCTCTGTGTTCTATTCTGCACTCGATTCTTTGCAAAATGCTCACTTTCCACATTCCTTCTTAACAGAGTAGAACAGCGATGGCGAACCTTTTAGAAACTGAGTGCCCAAAAACTGGCCCTGCCCCTGCTCCACCCCGCCTGCCCGCAGGGCCACTCACCGCCTCCAGGAGCTGCCACAGATTGCCCAGGTAGCCCAGCAGCGCCATGGCGGCCATGCCCTCTGCTCATGCCCCGCAGGATCAACTGTGCGTGATGGAGTGTGAGGGCAGAGTCTTGTCTACACTGCCTGGCTGCCATGTCCTTGGCTGTACTGCTCTGCTTGGGCCATGCTCGGGGGTGACTCTCCTCCAGGGGGGCTGCTGATGAGGGGGTCGCAGGGGGAGGCAAGGCTGGGACAACAGCATGTGTGTCCACAGAGAGGGCTCCGAGTGCCGCCTCTGGCACGCATGCCATAGGTTCGCCACCACTGGAGTAGAACAACAGAATAACAGAGTTGGAAGGGATCTTGGAGGCCTTCTAGTCCAACCCCCTGCTCAAGACCCTTTACCATTTCAGGCAAATGGTTGTCCAATCTCTTCTTAAAAACCTCCAGTGTTGGAGCACC